ACTTCTGTGTTAAACCTAAACGGACACTGCTTGTCAGAAGTTATGTTTACAGTTATACAAATTTGCCTAACAAAGAAAAAAATGCTTAACGTTTCGGAAAGTAAAAAAAATCAAAGAATAAAGAAAAAAAACTATTTAAAATATTTAAATTCAAACTATTATGAGAACACTTTAGTTTTTTTTAAAGCAGATGCGTCTACAAGAAACCGTTGACGTTCTGTTAAAATAAACGTCAACGGTTTCTTGTAGACGTATCTGCTTTAAAAAAAAACGTTTTCTTCTTTTCTGATTCACCAGAATATTCTGTAATTCATTTTCTAATTGTAAACAAACTTCGCGAACACCTGGTTTCAATTTTGTTTCAACCATTTTCATGTCTACGAAATCACCACGTTAAAATGTTTGGACCAACTGAATACTGAATGTAGCAAAACATGAAACGTGTGAATACAATCGTTGATTTTATTTTTCATTGAAAGAGGCGGGTTCTCACTTGTCAGTTTCGCTGAAGCAGTCTGACTGATTCAGTGATACTGAACAAATAATGAACGTCAGAACACATTTTCATGTTAAGTGATCAGTAAATTCGTACTTTCAGTTAAAGTGAAAACCAGTTCTACTTTTTTCATTTTTGACTGATCATTATCGAATAATGAATAGAAACTGAAGCGTGAGAATTACATTTTCGTGATTTGTTCAGTTTACAAGTTAAAGTTAATTAATTATTTTAACATATATCTCCAAAAAATCCTTTATGGGTATTTCGCCACTGCACTGCAAGAAAATCTACAAAATAAAATAGTTATTTTTGTAAACACTTCTGCGTTAAAACTAAACGGACACTGCTTGTCAGAAGTTATGTTTACAGTTATACAAATTTGCCTAACAAAGAAAAAATGCTTAACGTTTCGGAAAGTAAAAAAAATCAAAGAATAAAGAAAAAAAACTATTTAAAATATTTAAATTCAAACTATTATGAGAACACTTTAGTTTTTTTTTACAGCAGATGCGTCTACAAGAAACCGTTGACGTTCTGTTAAAATAGAACGTCAACGGTTTCTTGTAGATGTATCTGCTTTAAAAAAAAACGTTTTCTCTTTGGTTTTCTTCTTTTCTGATTCACCAGCATATTCTGTAATTCATTTTCTAATTGTAAACAAACTTCGCGAACACCTGGTTTCAATTTTGTTTCAACCATTTTCATGTCTACGAAATCACCACGTTAAAATGTTTGGACCAACTGAATACTGAATGTAGCAAAACATGAAACGTGTGAATACAATCGTTGATTTTTATTTTTCATTGAAAGAGGCGGGTTCTCACTTGTCAGTTTCGCTGAAGCAGTCTGACTGATTCAGTGATACTGAACAAATAATGAACGTCAGAACACATTTTCATGTTAAGTGATCAGTAAATTCGTACTTTCAGTTAAAGTGAAAACCAGTTCTACTTTTTTCATTTTTGACTGATCATTATCGAATAATGAATAGAAACTGAAGCGTGAGAATTACATTTTCGTGATTTGTTCAGTTTACAAGTTAAAGTTAATTAATTATTTTAACATATATCTCCAAAAAAATCCTTTATGGGTATTTCGCCACTGCACTGCAAGAAAATCTACAAAATAAAATAGTTATTTTTTGTAAACACTTCTGGCGTTAAAACTAAACGGACACTGCTTGTCAGAAGTTATGTTTACAGTTATACAAATTGGCTTAACAAAGAAAAAAATGCTTAACGTTTCGGAAAGTAAAAAAAATCAAAGAATAAAGAAAAAAAACTATTTAAAATATTTAAATTCAAACTATTATGAGAACACTTTAGTTTTTTTTTACAGCAGATGCGTCTACAAGAAACCGTTGACGTTCTGTTAAAATAGAACGTCAACGGTTTCTTGTAGATGTATCTGCTTTTAAAAACGTTTTTTCTCTTTGGTTTTCTTCTTTCTGATTCACCAGCATATTCTGTAATTCATTTTCTAATTGTAAACAAACTTCGCGAACACCTGGTTTCAATTTTGTTTCAACCATTTTCATGTCTACGAAATCACCACGTTAAAATGTTTGGACCAACTGAATACTGAATGTAGCAAAACATGAAACGTGTGAATACAATCGTTGATTTTTATTTTTCATTGAAAGAGGCGGGTTCTCACTTGTCAGTTTCGCTGACGCAGTCTGACTGATTCAGTGATACTGAACAAATAATGAACGTCAGAACACATTTTCATGTTAAGTGATCAGTAAATTCGTACTTTCAGTTAAAGTGAAAACCAGTTCTACTTTTTTCATTTTTGACTGATCATTATCGAATAATGAATAGAAACTGAAGCGTGAGAATTACATTTTCGTGATTTGTTCAGTTTACAAGTTAAAGTTAATTAATTATTTTAACATATATCTCCAAAAAAATCCTTTATGGGTATTTCGCCACTGCACTGCAAGAAAATCTACAAAATAAAATAGTTATTTTTTGTAAACACTTCTGCGTTAAAACTAAACGGACACTGCTTGTCAGAAGTTATGTTTACAGTTATACAAATTGGCTTAACAAAGAAAAAAATGCTTAACGTTTCGGAAAGTAAAAAAAATCAAAGAATAAAGAAAAAAAACTATTTAAAATATTTAAATTCAAACTATTATGAGAACACTTTAGTTTTTTTTAAAGCAGATGCGTCTACAAGAAACCGTTGACGTTCTGTTAAAATAGAACGTCAACGGTTTCTTGTAGACGTATCTGCTTTAAAAAAAACGTTTTCTCTTTGGTTTTCTTCTTTTCTGATTCACCAGCATATTCTGTAATTCATTTTCTAATTGTAAACAAACTTCGCGAACACCTGGTTTCAATTTTGTTTCAACCATTTTCATGTCTACGAAATCACCACGTTAAAATGTTTGGACCAACTGAATACTGAATGTAGCAAAACATGAAACGTGTGAATACAATCGTTGATTTTTATTTTTCATTGAATTATGGAAAACGCTATGGAAAAAATATTGTTTTATACACGACGATAAAATTGCATTATCGTCTCCAAAAATTAATTCCCTAGCGATTTCATCGCTCGTGAATTAATCTTTTCGGTCGACGATAAAATACCATTTTATCGTCTTGTATAAAAAATAACTATTTACATTTATATGAATAAATAACTAGTATAATATCCAAATGATGCCAAATGAACGAAATAAATCGCACAGTGATAGTAAGTTCTGTCCGTAGTAGGCAATGCGATCGCCATGTCAACTGTTTTTTTTATAGACAACTGTTAACATAGAATCTTGACATCGAACAACATCGAATTAAATTTTAAGTATGGTATTCATCCTATTCTTAGTTCTTAATTGTTTTGGTGAATGATGAAGAATAATTTTGAAGGTAATGTATTCTACTCTGAGTTCTCTTTTTCATAAATGGAGGTTCATTTTTTTAAATTTGGAGTTTTCCATCAATGGTATTTGATAAATTTGATTATACAGGGTGTTTCAAAACAAGTGCGAGAAACTTTAGGGGGTGATTCCTTGTTCAAAATAAAGGGTAGTTTGCTTCATAAACGTTGGGTCAAAAGTCAACCATTAGGGAGATATCGCCGTACAAAGATGGCGGAAAAATAATGTTTTTATTTTTTATCTTGAAAACGAAAAGAGATAGACTAATGAAATTTTATGGAAGTATTACTGTTATGAAAACACACTTTCAGGTAATTTTTTTACTTTTTTAAAATGAGTGGAAGGGGTTGAAATAAACTACCCCTATCATTCTTGTTAACGAAGTTTAAAGAAAATTCTTATCAAACACATGCAAATACTTTAATTTGGATAGTTTAGTTTGTTTAGAAACTTTTTTACCTCTTGTGTTTTTTTGATAAAACTCACCGATTGGAAATTAAAAAATAAAATGTAAAGCATTACATGTCTGGACAAAAAATATTTTTAGATTAAGAATCTAGTGATAATAATGATAATAATAATCATCTAGATAATAACGTATTGCAGTAGAGTAATGTCAAATAAAATAATATTAGGAAAATCCTAAAAAGTAACAGCGACCGATTTTTTCCTAAAAAAATTACAGCAGCCCACTAGATTCTTTATCAGAAAATGTTTTTTGTCCTGACATGTAATGCTTTACATTTTATTTTTTAATTTCAAATCGGTGAGTTTTATCAAAAAAATACAAGAGATAAAAAACTTTCTAAACAAACTAAACTATCCAAATTAATTTTTTTGCATGTATTTGATAAGATTTTTCTTTAAATTTCGTTAACAAGAATGATAGAGGTAGTTTATTTCAACCCCTTCCACTCATTTTAAAAAAGTGAAAAAATTACCAGAAAGTGTGTTTTCATAACAGTAATGCTTCCATAAAATTTTATTAGTCTGTCTCTTTTCGTTTTCAAGATAAAAAATAAAAACATTATTTTTCCGCCATCTTTGTACCGCAATATCTCCCTAATGGTTGACTTTTGACCCAACGTTTATGAAGCAAACTACCCTTTATTTTGAACAAGGAATCACCCCCTGAAGTTTTTCGCATTTGTTTTGAAACACCCTGTATAGCATGAACTAAGAAAATAAAGATTGATTATTTAGATTTATACCATATACAGGGAGCTCAAAAAGCTACTTCGGGTGCAATATTTTAACTTTACTGTATTTTTTATTCCCTGATTCTATTTGAAACAAGTTTTTAATTCGATGGAGCTGGAGGTATTTAGAAAAAAGGTAATAATACTAAAACACATGATGATATTAAAAAATACATATTTATTTAGTAACAATTAATAGTTATACAGGGTGAGTATTAAATAAGTGCAAATATTTTCAGGCCTGGTAGATAAAAGGAACATATTTTCTCTTTACGGTTTTTCAAATAAGTCCAAAATAACCGATTTATTTTATTTTGAAAAAAAATATTTTTTGCTTTATTAATTTTTGAGAACCACTGAATCTTTCCTGGGTTTTCTTTCTTGTAAAATTAATTTACTATCTATGTTGCCATATTACCAAGATATTATGTTTTTGAACTAAAAATTTAAAAAATTTCCAAATTTACGAGCCCTAAAAATATTTGCACTTATTTAAGACTCGCCCTGTATATAAAAATACAGAATTTCAGCTATTGGAATTACTATCAGAATGCAGAATTCTCTTGTGTTTTGAAAATTGCCCTGATTGTCTAAATCTGAAAAAAGATAAATAAAAATAGTAAAAGAGGTTAACAAACATTAGACATCAATAAATTTTATACCAAAATTTAAATATAGATCATAAACTACAAAACTGTAGTGATGTGAATACCGTATGATATAAAAAAACGGCGTCCAGTTTGGCTTGGAAATCACGATCTATGATATTCCCCATACAATTTTACATATAAAATGACAGCGATCTTCATTATATAGCCATCGCTGACGGCGTTTTTTTTTTCGATAATATTGTATTAGTTACCTTTGCCCACAAATGTCACATTGGTATGGAGTCTCGCCTGTATGAACCATAATATGACCCTCAAGAACCCTTTTATCCATGAAACGTTTGTCGCAAATCGAACATCTGTGATTCTTCACGCCAGTGTGCCCTTTTTTGTGAAATGCCAAGTTACTAGTGGTTTTGTAGCTTTTACCACACGTATCACATGCATAAGGTCTATCATCTTTAAAAAAAATCGTGTTATAAGTTTATTTTAGTATAGTTCTGCTCAAGTAAATTGTCCTAATAGAAATAGAGTACAATACCACAAACAATACCTAATTACTTGTCAAGAGAAATAAGTAAACATAGAGATATAGCAATATAAATTTATATGGTAGAACCCCTCTATTTTTAATTATTTCTCTGGGATTTCCTTCATACCCGAATGCGATCGCATATGAACATTTAAATCGCTCTCTCTCAGTGATCTGTGGCCACATTTATCACACTGGTAATCCTTATTAACCGAATGTATAAGTTCATGTTTAGTGAGCATGTTTTTACTTATAAACATCTACAAAACAATGAAATTTATTATTTTTTCAAACAAAAATAAAAGAACATTTACTTTAGGACATGTTGTACATGAATAAGGTTTTTCTAATGTGTGAATTCTCGTGTGTACTTTTAAGTAGGACGATGAGTGGAAATTTTTATTACAGACTTTACAATAATATGGTGTTTCACCTGAATGTGATCTCTGGTGCGTTCTTAGTCTGAAAATATTTATAAATTTTGCTCCTAAAAACGAAAATTGTAAATTAAGAGCTTAGGAGTATCCAAAACATTAATACCGCAGATATGACACCCATGTTTCTTTTCACCAGTATGAATTTTCTCGTGATTTCTCAGATTACGTCTGTTAGAAAACGTTTTTTTACAGTTTTCACACTCAAATTTTTCATTCTTGACATGTATTGTCCTATGTACCTTAAGAAATTAACTTTAGGTATGTATAAAAAATATTATACTACTTACATTTAAGTTTTCAAGTCCTGAACTTAAAACATCCTAAAATATATACATAAATAGTAATACTACAATAATTCAATACATCTAATGTTCTTACATTGTTTATTAAGTTAGAATCTTCCCTTAAAATTATACAAACTGACAAATTATCATCATTATTGAAATTTACAAAACTGTCTGTATTTAATATTTCATTTGTACTTTTTAACGGCTCTACTATATTTTTTAATTCACCATCTGCATGTCTTGCTTGTTTACAAAACCCAACAGCCACATTGAGTTTCTCTAAACACCCTGTGCATATACAGGTTGGAGAATATGCATCTAAGTCAATCTAAAGAAACAATAAGCCTTAATTTGCTTGTTTTTACTTAAGTTGAGATTTGTTTACCTTTATATTAATAAGTTCACTCAAACTTTTGGCTATATTTTCGTTTCCAAATAAGAATTTCATGTTTTCTGGGGAATGTTGTGAAAGGCAGGTCCTGCATAACTTATATAGATCGGGTACAATTTGGATTTCCTGAGCCATTGGGTTAAAATTTGATAGTTTATATTAATTTTGAATAAACTATTTGGGAAAAAAACATTAAACAGCTGATTATTTATAATATTATCCTTGTAACCATAGAAAATAATATAATCTACATCATAAAGTAACTAAAATATAAGAGTGTTTGAAAGGTTGTCTAACTTGGCCATAATGTTGCATAGTTCAGTTAGGGCTCCAAAGCGTCGCCACCTGCTACCTGTCACTTGTCATTACAAGATTGACAAGTGACATGACAGCAAATTATTTGTATTTTGCAATTGTTTACAATTTTGTTTTGAATTTTGGAATTTTGTTATTATTTTGTGTAGCATAAACTTTGTTTGTTTGTTTTGTGTTTGTGCGTACAGAAATTATGGACGAAGTTTTATTTCCC